GCCTGCCCACCCTGAGCTGCTGAGCAGAGACACAGCCCCCTGGCAGCCCCTCAGCTGCACCCTTGGGTCCCTGTGTGTGCAGAAGGGGCCACACAAGGGCTGGCACCTGCTCCCCAGCCCTCTGAGCGTGACATTTCCTCCTTACATCTGTCCCTGAAGGGGACACGAGTCCCCTGTGCCAGTGCCAGCCTGCAGGAGCTCGGCTCCAGGCTCTGTTGCTACAGCTGGGGTGAATTTGGCTCCTGTCCTCTGTTGGAACAGATCTGTGCTTGGCCTGTCTCTGGTCACACAGGTACAGCTGAGAGGAGGGTTTGGCTTGGCTCGTAGTGAGAGCAAAGCTTGTTTGGTTTGGTTTTGTTCTAAGTGGAAAACTGAGAACAGGAAAAGTGTCTGAAACCAAAAAAGTGTCAGACAGCTGCTCCCTGGGCAAGGGGGCCAAAACACGGGGAGAGGGACTGGCAGAGGAGCTGACCCCAAAAAAAAGGGGGATTGTGGCAGCTGGGATTGTGCCCTGCACCCTGCACCTCGGGGCTGAGCTGGGCAAATGGAGCTGCAAAGCTCCAGGGAGAGGAATCCCCATTCCTTGGGATGCTGCTGGGACAGGAGGGCAGGCAGGGAGAGCTGGGGGTGGTGTGGGGCGTGGTGGGTTCGTACCAGGAGGAGGAAACACATCCCCACACATCCCCTGGGACATCTCCACTGCCAGAGCCACTCTGGCTCCTTGCTGAGCCTCTCCTTAGACCTGTTCCATCCCGTGGTACCCCAGGCGTGGTCTAGGTTGGTTTTGGGAGGGAAAAGGTTTGGGATTTTCAGGGCTGATGTGTCTCTCTGATTTCAGGAAGTGTCCTTCGCCTTTCAAAAGAAAGAAAGAAAAGCAAGGTAAGGATCTGTGCCAATGCTTTGGAGGTGGAGTGACAGAGTCCCCGGGGAGGTGACATCAGTGCCACACGCCTCCCACACTCCTTTTGTGCTTTACCTTCCTCTAGAGAAGCTTGAGGCAGCATTTCCTGAAATCTTAAAGCAGGGAGGGTGATGTTCCACTGGATTTGGCAAGGGGGAGGGAAGGGACCTCAGCAGTGCCTTTAAAACAACCAAGTCCCACCTCAAAGCACAGCCAAGTGCTCTCCAGCAGAGCAGGAGCTGCATCACCTCCTGCAGCAGCTGCAAACATCTGTCTGACAGCACTCCCCAGAATAAAGTGCATTCCTCAAGCCGTGTCCTGTGGCCTTTGGACCGTGCTGGGCAAAACATGTTTGCCAGGCAGCAGAGGAAATAACAAAGTTAAAAGTGGATCTGACTCCTCCAAGGGCTGACAAGAAACTCTCTGTGCTGTGTCTGTGGGTTCTGCCAAGAACTCTGTGGTCCACAGCCTGCTGGCATCCTGGGAAACCTTATTTTTCCCCAAGAAACAAGCCCAGGCTTTCTTCTTGCAGACATCAGGGCAGCATTAGGGCTGAGGGAGCCGGATGAGCTGGAAATCTGATTTGTGCCCAGTGGGGAGAGCCCATGGGCCAGCACAGCACTGCTGCATCCCAAGGTGGAACAATAAACTGTTTTAAGCTGAGCTCCTGCTGTTTCTTTTGCAGGAGCTAATGTGAGGCATGAGACCCAACAGCAGCAGCCTGGCAAGAAGGTAAATAACTTTCCAGAGGGCTTTTCCCTAAGTGTGTGTGGAGAAGAGAGCTGCCCTGAGCCCCGTGGGCTGGGAGGACACAGAGCTAGGAATCCTCTCATCCTGTGCACCTCTAAAGTGGACACAGTGTCTCCATGGCGTTTCCCACACTTTTTTTGCCCCCTGAAGTGCAGTGAGGTGTCAGAGGGTGGGGGGTGCTGGGTCTGACCGAGCAGCACAGGGAGCTCTGAGTTCCCTGAGAGTTCCCTGAGTTTCCTGAGAGTTCCCTGAGTTCCAGATCATTTTTTCCCCGCAAGGTCCCCACGTATGAAGATGTCCCAGATATCCCTGTCTACGCCACGGTGAGCAAGCCCAAGGCTGTGCAGCAGGAGGAGAACATCCACTACGCCGACATCCAGGTGTTCTCCAAGGCACGGGAGCGCTCGGCGGCCGAGGTGAGGAGCCTGCAGCTGCAGAACGCCACGGAATACGCCACCCTCAACTTCCCCAGGGCCAGGCTCAAGTACGACAGCAAAAATGGGACCTTGGTCTAAAAGCCTTGATGGCCTCCTCCTCCTCCTCCCGCAGGACAAGGAGCTCACAGCTGTAGAGCCAAGGAAACCTCACGGACCCTGAGAGGGGGAGGCTGCGTGTCCCGTCTCAGACATTCTCTCTCTGAGGAGTTTCCCGGATGATTCTGCTGGCTGAAAACATCTCCTCCCGTCGGCAGAGCTGCCCCTGGAGCTGGCAGCCCGTCTCCTGCCAGCCCTGCGAGGTGGCAGAGCTGCTGCTGGGCTGGGCAAGGCTCAGGGCTGCAGGGAAAAAAAATCCAGAAACAGCTCCAGCCCAGTGCTGGCTTTGGGAATTCTGGAATTCAGGACTAAAGGGAGGTTTTGGTTAGAGCTCAGAGTGTGCAGATGACTCTGGGTGGTGCTGTGAGGAGAGGGGACCTTCAGCAGGATCTGCTGCACTGTCTCCTTCCAGCAGCTGCCCCTGGAGGTGCAGCCAGGCCCTGTGTGCATCCCCTTCCCCAAAACTCGGTGTTCTACAGCATGCACAGCACCTGGCGGCCAGAAATGCAGGATTAGGAGGGGTACAGAACAATTTCTGTCACCGAAGGGCTGTTCAGAGGTGCATCCTCACTCCTCTGTGCAAACAAATGAGGAGCTCCTGGCTCTGACTGGAAGTGAAAAAAGGGAAAATTGGCAATTTAGCTGCAAATCACTGCCTATATTTAGGGCAGCCCTTAGAGTTCAGCAGCTGTCTGGGAGTGAATCCTGGGCAGCTTCAGAGAGGACTTTGGACTTTGCCTCCACTTTTCCCTCATTTTATGCTGTCAGCCCCAGTGACACAGAGCACACGTGGGTTTATCACCTCCACCTCTGAGAACCTGTTTATGGGTTCGAAATAGTGTCAATAATTGAGTGTAGCAATGGTCCAAACAGCTTCTGCCACTGGGCAGCACTGGCAGAGCACCAGGGCTCCATCTCCAGGTGCTAAACCTGGGCTTGGCACATTCTGCTCCTCAGAGCAAACTGTGGGGCAGCCCCGGTCACCGGCATTTAGAAATTATATGGTGCCTTCCATAAACACACAGAACTCTGCATTTTATAACTCAGCTGGGTGTGAAAAGCACGAAGGAGCTCCTGCTCGCGGTGGAAAATGAAACTGCTGCCGGCTGTGTTTGCCAAGGTGGAAGTGTCTGAGGACCAATCTTGCAGTTTTTGTCCGTGTTTTAATGAGTGCCCGAGCCCCCGGAATGTTTTTTATCTCTCATTCCCTCAGGAGCTCCGGCTTCCACATCACCCTCGGGGCTGTTCCTGAAGTCCAGCTCATCCTAGAGACAATTCCAGGCTCTCATTCCGGTGATTTGTGCCGGTTTTCCAGGCTTCCCGTGGGGAATTATGGAAACACGTGTTCTGCAACAGAGATTTTCCTGAAGGACTCGGTTTTGCACTGAATATTAAAATCTCCGGTACTTCCCGCGGTTGCCATGTGTGCCAAACGAGTGTTGATGTATCATTAAAGATGCAATATTTAGTTTTAAGTGATTAATCCTCACTTTGGGCGAGGCTTTGCGGGGCAGGGGGGACACACAGGGTCCCGCTCCCGGGGCGGCGATGCGGGGCTGGGCAAAGGCTCCCCCGAGCTGGCCCCGATCCCGATCCCGATCCCGATCCCGATCCCGATCCCGGCCCCCCGATCCCGGGGCGGAGCCAGCTCCATCCCGCCCCATCCCGCCCCCGTTCCCGTGGCAACCGGAGACGCGCACCGGGAGCAGGTAGGGCCGGGGTGCGGGTCCTGGTACCCATCGCATCCCACCGCATCCCATTATCCCATCCCATTATCCCATTATCCTATTATCCCATTATCCCATCATCCCATCCCATTTCCAGAGGCACCCTGACCCACACAGCCCCTCCCAAGGCTCAGCTCCTCGGGATTTGCTTTTCCCCTCAGGCTCAGGAGCTCTGGGACCTTCCCCTGGCGCTGAGGTGACATCCGGCATGGGGACCCTGATGGACACGGTGCCCTGTCGCCCCCCACAGCCTCCTGCACCCTCTGTGAGTTCCCAGCAGCCTCTTTCGGGTCCTTTCTGTCTCTTTTGGTGCTTCATGAGGAGTTTGGGATCGGTGGCACACGATGGCTTTAAGCGGCTCTTTGGGTGATTGCTGCAGTCACGGCCCCACAAACCCCACAGGTGAATTCCTGAACCAGCCTCTTCTGGTTTTATCCCCCCAGCCCCGATTTTAGTGACCAGAAGTGTGCAAGGACAAGAGCTGTGGCCGTGCTGGAAGTGGCCAGGAGATGGCAATGCCACCACCAGAACTGCCAGCACCCCGTGGGCTGGGCTGGGAGGTCACTGGCCCCAGGAGCAGCTGCTGGGGACATCCATGATTCCTTGGGGAAAATTCAGGGAGAATTCTGAAGCATCATTCCTGTTAGTGAGAGGCTTCCTGCATTGAAAGGCACCCGTGGTGTAAAACCGACAGGAAAACACAACTCCTGCCACGAGCAGCTGGAAATCTCCGAGTGAAACACAAAGGGAGAAGTGGGATTTAATTTGTAGAAGTTATTTTTAGCCCACACACCCACCCCAGAACCATTTGTGTCCCCACAATGGACAGAAGAATGGCTCAGCATGTCCAGCCTGGTTTCCATTCCCTGGCATGGAGGCAAAGATAAGAAACCTCCTGCAGAAACAAATCTTTGATGAAAAAATCTCAGAGCAGGACTGAACCTGAGCCTGGCAGGGAAGAGGAGAACATTTGGAACATTATTTTGAACATTTTCCCTTTGCTGTGCTGGTGTTGGGGCAGGAGGGGGCTCTGCAAGAGGGAGATGGGATGAGAGGGAACCCCTGGATCCCAGAATTCAGTCCCAGCTCTTCTTGGTTAACCCAAAAATCTCAGCATCCTTCCCTGTGATGTTACAAATCCTCCCTGAATGCATGTTAACCATGTAAAAATCAGGTGGTAAATATATAGAATGTAATCATTATAAATACATGTAATAAATTATTAGTCAAGGAGAACATTTTAAAGTGCACAGTGGAAGCTCAGAGTGTGTTTTGTTGGTTTTTCCTTCAAAATTAGGTCACTTTTGGTCTCATGGGGGAAACCACTTCGTTTTCCCACATAATTTTATTGGAATTGCACAGGCATAAGCTGCTCAATTACATTAAAAATGGGGTTAAATATTTATTTAATGGCATTTGGAAGCTCAAAAGTAAACGGGATCAAGGCTCCAACCCCACAGAGCAGCTCCAGCTTACAAGGCTTTGTGCAAAGCCTCGCTGTAATCTGTTGTTTTGCTTAACAGATGTGATATTAAAATCGATGAAAACATTAAAATCTCCACTCCCACAGAATTATAAAAAGCAGGGAGAGCAAACACGAATAATTTAAATAATAATTTAAAACTGGAGGCGAGGGAACCACCTCGTTTTGGGTTGGTTACAGAGGGAAGAGACCTGTTGCTTCTCTTTCTGTATTTCAGCTGTGACAGCTAAAATAGTGAAATTATGCCATTGATTTTTACTCAGAATGCTTCAACGCTCAGGCAGGGAAAAAAAATGTTTGTTTTTAAATGCATCTCACCCTTAGAAATGCTTGGGAAGATATTTTGGAACTCGAGGGTCAGTGCCTGCCAGGCTGAGCCCCTGACTGGAGGGGCTTTCACCCATCCCGGTTTCATTTTCCTTCTTTTTCTTTCCCCCTGGGCACTTCCTGTAAGGTGACACCAACTTCGAGAGGCAGCCTGGAGATATTCGATCCTTATTTCCGTGCTGGGTGCACTTAGTGATGTAGAGAACTTAGTGATGTAGAGAGCGAGCTGGGGGTTGTGTTTAATTGTTCCAACGTTTTCTCTCCTATTTTTTTTTGTTGCTTTTTTTTTTGTTGTTGATTTTGGTCTTTTTGTTGTTTGTTTTTGGTTTTTGTGGGGTTTTTTTTGTTGTTGTTGTTGTTTTTTTGGGGGTTTTTTTGTTTTTTTTTGGTGGGTTTTTTTTTTTGTTTTTTTTTTTGGTTTTGTTTTTTTTAATTGAAAAATGCAATGTTCACACTTGCAAACCTTCCGGCTGTCGTGGCCTGGCTTGCAGCTTCCTGTGGCTGCAGAGCGATCTTCTCTCTGCGCTTTTCTCCCCCTGCAAGTCATCACCTCCCTCCCTCCCTTCCTCCCTTCCTCCTCCTCCTCCTCCTCTTCCTCTCTACCCCCACACCAATCACCGCTCCCTGTGTATGGCCAGTTTGAAAAATCTCATTTACGCGTTTCGGGAGGGCATTTTTTTTTCGGGTTTTTTTCTTTTTTGGTGTATTTTTTTTTTCTCTGCCTGCGGACTGGCTGCAAATGGCTTTCAGATGTTTTCCCCTCTCCTGCATCTCGTAAAGCCGCTCGGTTGCCGTGACAACGCGGTGACATCTCCGCCCGAGCTGCTCCCTCCTCCCCCGAGCACGCCCAAAGCCAGCCGAGATCCCGGCTCTGCCCTGCACAGATGGGACCATGAGAGCCCTTCCCCATGAGCTGCCGGCCTTTGTGCTCGGGAGGAAGAGGAGGGAGAGGAGCCCCGAGGCTCCGGGAGCTCAGCCCCGCATACCCTGAGCCCCCCGCCCGGCACGGAGGATGCTCGCCTGCCTGGCCAGGGGAAATCTGCTGGATATTCTCCAGGAGGGCTTCACCGAGGTAAAGCCACGTTCCCCGGGAGGAAGGCGGGATGGTTTCGTGCGGGATTGTTGCGTTCTCGGGGCTGCTCTCACCGGTTCCTCACCGGGGAGGAGTTGGGTGAGGAGTTCGTGGCTCGTTCTACTCGCGGCTTTTACGCTCTTCTTGCTTTGCTGCTGTCCCGGTAAATAACATCGACTGCTGCAGCTTGTGGGGCAGTGGAAAATACTCCTTTACTGCGGAAAATACTCCTTTACTGTAGAAAATACTCCCTTATTGTGGAAAATACTCATTTATCGTGGAAAATACTCCTTTACTGCGAAAAATATTCCTTTACTGTGGAAAATACTCCCTTATTGTTGAAAATACTACTTCACTGTTGAAAATACTCCTCTCCTGAGGGCTGTGTGGTGTCTGGGGGTGTAAATTTGCTTTGTGGACCCACATTTCTTAGGAGAGGCTTACAAAGCTGGTTTGGGGTTTTTCCTCCCTCCTCACCCCCCCTCCCCTCATCTTTTTCTGTAAATTGAATCCCCAGGGGACTGAAATTCAACTTGGCCGGGAAAATGTAATTTTCAAAGTGTTCTTTATTTGCCTGCTC